TATGATTTTAGAATCCAGTGTCAGGCTTTTTAGAGTAGACAGTGGAAGGTCTTACACGTGATGTTAAAAGTAATTTATATCTAAATCACAGTAACTGTAGGAAGCTCCACCTTTGTCCTCCACCTACCACACCAAGACTTTGCCACAGGGGAGAACAACAAATAGCAAACAGGTTTCGGTTGCTTGGGAAAGCTGGGCAAGTAACATAACTCCTTAATTCCATTATTCTTAATCATTATAGTGTGCTTCTTTGCTTGATATAGTGTAATTACGGGACAATCCAAAGCTATGAGCTGCCTCTTTTCAATGTGCTCCTTAACAGAAAGAAATGCCATAAGGGATGTTTCTTGAGAAACTGATGTTGTGATAGCAAGTAGAAATTTGCAGACTGTTAGAAGATATATGTCAGTTCCTCAAGTTTGCAGGAAAAAGTGGGTATTGATTCAGGAATGTTCTGCCTGTAAATGTCAGCTTTACAACTGGAAACCAGAACTCTAAATATTAAAACTGAATACTAAGAAAAGAGAGGTCACTTCAGCAATTTGTAGTTTAAACATTACGAAATCTTGATTTGTGATACAGATGAAGCACTACTGTAACAGAGAGAGCTCTTAGACATCGCCTGCAAGGAGGTGCTACTCCTTTATTTTCACAGAGGGAAAATAAATCACACGGTAACCTAAAATATTTAATCCTACAGATATGAATGCCAAGTTGCAATATAATTTCAGCTGCAGAATGCAAACTCCAGCACTAATGGGTTAGTAATTTAGTACAGATTAGTTTTTGAAACCTTCTTTCTTTATAAGAACAAAAGCAAGTGAAAAACTGGAAATAACAACTACGTTACTTAGTCTAAAATTTCTGAGTAGTAGCCACAGTGTGGTTTTGGGCAGCGGGCTTGTTTTTTTTTAACATAGATAGGAAACTTTCCCAAAAAAAGTTTCATTTATGTGCAAAACATAAAAATAAGATATTACAGAACTTTTCTAGACAACTATAATCTCCTTTGACAGTTGTTTTATCCACAGCACAGATGTTTGCCACTTCACCATGAATGTTGGCTGACCTGCCCAAATCTCAATGAAAAACAGTTGGAACAAGAAGGTTTCTCTGCAAATGGTTATGCAAACAGGAATCTTCATTTCATGTTCATGCTAAAGTATACCCTCTGTTATGCATTCAAAAGCACTACTTTATTTTTTTAGGCTCTGAAGTACATGTACTGAAATCACAGTACATGCTTAATATACTGATTAGGGTATATATTATAGCCAAAACAGTATTAACAACCAAACCAAGATGTAGATTATTCTTTCAGATTTCAAATTACACTGCATGGTATTTAGCTTCTCCCCCCCCCCATGCAGTGAAGTGGGTAACATATTCACTGTTCTCCTTAGATGCATACACAGTGTAATAGCATCTGGAGGCAAAAACAATAGGGAAGGAATAGACCTGGCTTGAGTAGTAGTTCTGCTGCTCGGAAGGGCAGGAAAAGCATGTAAGGCCAGAGGAAACTATGGTAGCAGGTCACCAGATGGTGAACACTCATCATATATCATCTAAGCCCATACAATGTGCAGCTTATCCATCCTCCTGGTAACACTGTCATCTTTGACAATGATGGACTTACAACTAGTGTGGATTCCTCTCTGCTGGACCATGAAAACAAGCATATTCTGGTCCCTTGAAGCGTTACATGCAGAATTCCAGTTTACCTTTATCACATTATAGCTGTTACAGCTACAATAAGGGGCTGGAAAACAACTGAAGACAATTGCCACCCAAATCAGTTTGCTACTTCCTTTGGACAATGCAATCTTTTTGGAGAGAGCTGTGAGAAAGCAATCTCCTCACTCCTTTATTTTTATAAGAATTTGCTTTATGGGTGGGGTTAATTTTTTTTTTTTGGAAGAGACATGATTTGGTATTTTCCTAAAAAAAAAAAACCCAAAACCCAAACAAAAACCCCAAACACCCCACACCCAGTTGCTGAAAGCTTCCAGACTCCTGATAATCTCTGTACCTTCTAACCAGAGATAACTCTCAAGATAGCTTAAGGACAAGAACAAAGCTTGTAACTTACTCCATTGTGTCTTTTTGTTTGTCTATGCATACACAGAAATGCATACAAACATAATTACAAGGTAGCCAAAAGTTCTAGTGAATCCCTTTCAAGGGGGCAAACACAAAGTGGCCACGATAACCTCCCTGTATCTTGTTTTCTTTGTAAGGCTGAGATCACAGTAGTTTGATATGTCTTGCAAAAGGTATACAAAGTCTGACTTAACCACTTTTTCAATGCCTCTAGAAGGCTATAATATTAAACTTCCACAGCTTCGCCAGCATATATTTTGATGGCAATAGGCACTACATATTAATTAAACATTGAAAGGATGTTACAAATATGGAACACCTAAGGTACTGAGAATTTAAAAGCCTACTGTAAAATGAATCTATGATGATTAGATTTTAATATATTACTAATTTTTGACTCAATATACAGTGTTGCATCAATTTTACACACAAAACAATGGCATTATCCTACTCTAAATAATTAAAAAGTACTACTCTAACCTTTTTTAAACTCTCGACTATGTCAATTTTCTGCTAGAGAGTCGATGCTTTAAAATAAGAAATGTATTACAAGGAAAAATGCTATCAATTTATTTCCAAATTTTGGTAATTAAAGCCACTATTTATGTGTGCTGCAGGAAAAATAAATTAACTGCAAAGGTATACAGCTTGAGTGCTATGTCGTGTTATTTATAAAGGTAGGTCTTTGGAAAACCAGTACAATTGGTTTTTTTCATCATTACAGAAGTCACTTCTTTGTAATTGAAAATGAATGTCAGACAAGAATTATTGTTACAGCATCTTGGAAGAATGCAACTGTATTGTGAGCTAAATATAACTTCTCCAAGTTGTCAAGTTTTTATGCTTATAATCAAATCTCCATAACCAATTTTCTTTTTTTTCTAAAAAGTAAATGGCCAGATAATGCAACTGAGTAAGAAGTTACTGTGTTACTGAAAATATACATAGTTTGGCTACAATATGGCTTATATACATGCAAGTAGGTGTTCATTAACAATGTGCAAAGAGCATTTAAGCAATTTTTATCCCAGAGAAAACTCAAATTTGAGGAGTCAAAACATTCTAGGTCATGGCTGATGAAAATCTTTTGTGGTTTGCACAGCACATCCATATATTATGCCTGGTTCTAAACAAGGTACTGTCCTGTCCTCCTTTCAGTAACTGTTACAATTCATTATAAACTATGCTATTTCAGAGAATCAAAATATGATTTAGGAATAAGATTTGTAAAGAAAATTGTTTCAATTTCTAGAAGTCAAGTTTCTTTTTATTTTCATCTCAGAGACAAGAATTGGGAAAAAAACCAAACAGCTTTCTCTTTCTACTTGGGAAAACAAAAGAAATAGGTGAGGCAAATGCATCAGAAACTATACTCGTCACAATTTGTGGGATTTCCCTCATGATGTTGCATTCCTGTATGTGACTTCTGATGGATAAAAGTACAATGTATTTACTGTTTAAGTAAAATGTGGGAAGGGATCTCAAATGATATTCCTTCAGATGTCAACCTAATCTATTTTTTGGCAACTTCTGGTGTACTATCCTTACCATCAGTCCCTAGTTGATCCAGCCTAGTAGTACCTTAGTCTGCTTTCTCTGCTGGACACTAGCGGCTTGTATAAAATGAGTTCACATTTGGAACACACGTTTCTCTGGCATATTTCTGGCACCTTTCTGGGAATATTCAGAGCCTAGTGACCAAACAAATACGAATAAAAGTAAATTTTCTCTCTTAAAAAAACCACAAGTAATGCTGAAGCCATATGTAAAGGGGCTGTGATGCTTTCATTACTAGAACAGGCCAAGTTTGCTCTTTATAATTTAAAATGCAACAAGGGGGAAAAAAAAGGCATGAAAAGTTCAGAGTGCAAATATTCTTTGGTTTACTCGTTAAAACAAAAGGACACAGCAAACAGCAAAAACACTGGCAATTAAATAAACAGCAAATTCTTTATATGCTTGCTAACAAAAAGTCTTCGGCTGTTTGAAATGTATTAAACTTCATGCTTTAAGTACATTACAGTGTCTTGAAAGTCACATTTTTTTATCCCCAAAGGCAAGGCAGGGAGAAGGTAAGGGAGAAAAAGAGGGATGAAAGTTAGGAGGGGAGAAAAGAAGAAAAAAGAAATTTATTCAAGATTCCATTTTTCCATTAGTTAAATAGTATATAACACAACGATAAAACTAATTTCTGTTTCTAGTTTCATTGTACACAAAGCAAGTTGGCTTGGATTTTATGTTCAGATGATCAAGCTTTCTGAATTCACATCATCATACACATCACCCTAGTGTATAAAATATACTGACTCACACCTTTTCAAAAAGAATTGTGACCTATTAGCAGGATTCTAAATATCTTAAGGAATTGCACAGATAAGTCACTGTGTTTTACCTTAGCATAGGCAGAGTTAAGATAACGTACCGCAGGTGGTTTCTAGGGAATATTCTTCCCCGGTTAGGCTATTTTACTGTAGCTTATTCCTCAAATAATCCCCATATAATCAAAGGAAGCAAGCATCTGTGCGGATCTATAAGGATCTATACTTGGTAGCCTTGCAGACAGGAAGTTTCCACCACTGACGAACAAGCCTGTTAAGACTCTACATGACAGCATCACTGATATTATTTAAAACTGAATGCTTTATAAGGGCAACAATAGTAAGCTGTGATCTGTGCAGAGCATAAAAGACTATAAATGAATCCAATATATATATTTTACAAAGAAGTCAAAGAAATTATAGAGTGTACCATCACCATGATAGTCTGCTACCAATATTACTGGTCTCTGATAGTTTAGAAATAATGCTGTAAATCTATGAAAAATGTGGATTGTCTGACAGCATATTGTTTGGTTTTGTGTATCTATCTTGCAAGACTACTTGGGCTGTTCTGTTCTATTGTCTTTATCCAGCTGTTTCTGCAGGCAAAGCACAGTAAAAAAAGTCATGTGCAGTCTTTCTTCCAGATAGACTGTGAATAGCAACAGATAGCTCATAATAAGGAATCAATTTAATAAAGGTATTTTGGAAATACTTGTCATAATGTAAAAAAACCTTTTTGCATGCTCCCTTATTCCTTCATAAATCAACAGTGTTCCGTCTACAAATAATGCACAGGCAGTCAACTTTATTACAAGTACTTATATGTTCCCCTCATCTAGCATTTTGTTGACACCATCACAAAGTTTCTGCAAATGGAGTTTGTAAGGTCCGAAGGGATTGTACAAGGCAGCCAAAAATTCACAATCAGAGAAGTGATCAAACACATTGTTGACGCGTCCATGCGACTTTGCAGTTAGGTGACGCTGAATGATTTCATGAAGTAGCTCTCTACAATCGTTTAACAGTTTGGACAAAAAATTCCTGTCAAAGGTATAATCCACCTGATGGAAACTGACCACGGTCTTAGCCAGTTGATGAACTTTCTTCTTGAATTTCTCCATCAATGCTATTTCATCCTGATTAAATTGGTTGTTTCTGTAGAGAATTGCCAATTTGAGGACTATTTTAATGAGGTTTTTGATGATTTTCTCTGCTTCCTTTTTATTTTGTGTATATTCTTTTGTCACTCTGTAGAGCTCATCTAAAACATCACTGCTTGTATCATCAATCAAAGTAGTTGCTATTGATTTGGACACCATTTTTCCAAGGATCTTCTTCTGGGCCTGAATGGCCAGACTTTTGGAGTTGAAGACATCTGTGGCCACTGGGGGGGAAAAAAAAAAAAAAAGTATGCAGTCAATACCTCATAACAGACTTACTGAGACAGTAAGTTAAGGACTATTTCCATGTCTATCCATTCGTATTTGTCCTACTAACTGCCACAAAAATAATGCAAACTTATGTATGTAGTTGCAGAAAACATCATATTTTCAATCCCTAGAACTCTGTTGTCTTTAGGTTTACATTCTTTTAGATTGTTTTACTTTTGAGAAAACACAAAATGAGATAGAACTTCCTCAAAAATGGTTTAAAAGATCTCTCTATATATGGATTGATGCGATTTCAAATTGAGGCAATAAACCTGCCCTCTTTGATCAGATGAGTCGTAAGTCTTATCTGATTCTCATATTCATAACGAAATCTGAGACCATGACTATCCCAATGTCATAACAATTGCCACAGCTGCTTGATTACAGATAGTAATTCAGTGAACTGACTAGTGTAAAACTTTTTCCTGCTTAGCATTTTACATGATCAGTGAATTCAGATCCCACACATCTGTTACATTTTTATATACATATTTTATACATAGATACATTAGAAAAAAATACAATGCAACCACAAAAATCCTTTGTCAGCAAACAATACTGAGATTCTCTGGATGCAATCTGAAGAAGCTAGTTTTCAGAAGGAAAGCAAGTATAGATTAGCACTTCTATATCCTATACTTAACACAGAAATAGCCAAAAATTCCTATTTCCAGGTTGAACGGTCTAGGAGATGGCTGCCTTTATGCTGCAGCTTTCTCGGAGTCTCAGGCTGAAGGAAAACTTCATCTATTTACATTTATTTCACATATGGAAGGTTTGCTTTGCAAACACGGGGCCTGGAAACATTTCTTTTTATTTTTCTTTTAATGAAAATACAAACCCTGCAGATGACAAACAGTAAGTCCCTGAATTTAGGAAAGGTTTCCTCTGAACTGTTTGTATTTGGGCAGCTGGATGTGTTCAGTTGCAGGGTGCTTCTGGGGTTCCAGCAAGTAGAAGGAACTTGTACTTCAGGACATGAGACACACAGCAGTGTCTTCAACAGTACCTTTGAGAAACTTGGGAACAAGCTCCTTTCAAGCAGGTTTGTTTCTTAAGACTTTTGCTGCATTCCTGTATTTTGTTTTGAAGCGTGAAGTGTTTGAGTGCATTTAAAAAAAAAATCTTCACTACACGAGGACACTCAAAAATGAAAGAACTCATTGTTAACTATCTTGGGCAAGGCACTCAAGATCACAAGACAGACATGTTTCTCAACCGCAGATACGGGAAGACATTAAAAATGCTAAGCAGTCTGAACTGAAAATGTTAGAGTCATTTTTTGTGCTTTTAAATCTAAAACTGCAACCGTTACTGTTCAAATAAAACTAATCGAAGTATTTCAAATGGTGGTCAAATATTAGAACTCAACAGCCAATACTTTACAAAGGTCTACAGATGAATGATAGCTTTTTTCCTCCAAAAGAGAAATATTGATTGTTCTTTCATAATTGTTATTTCTTAAAGCCTTCCAATTGACTAATTGCTCATAGTATCTTCTTTCTGATGCTCTACAAAAATGTACAGATGTTTGTACTAATAGTAGTTTCTGTTTCAAAGTATCTTCTATAAATTTGCAGAGAAAAACTCCCACAATGTAATACATACATATCTTAAGATGTTCTTTCCTGGGATGCTGTAGGTATTGTTACGAAATGCTAACTATATCACACAGAACGCTCCACTGTAATTGAAAAGAAATTCATACAACCTGCCTCCAGCAAGTCACACAAACACTTAGGTATGGTTCTCAGAATTTACACATATCAACCTTCAAAGTATCAATTGCAAGAAACTGAAAACTCAACAGTTTTCTAAAAAATTTACAGTTTTTCAACAAAACTCCCCCTTACATTACATAACTTAAGATTTGACAAAGTGGAGAGCAACATGTAATTACCACTGCTAAGCAAACCAGGAATTGCTCACTTACAAGAGGTGTTAAACTCTTAATGTCATGTCTCTAAAAACTGTTCGAGTTTTGGGACTACCCAGCGCAGCCTATTTTCTATCTACTTTGCAATACACCAGAAGTCAGCTTCCTCTTCCCTGTGTTATTACATGGGTTCCAATTTAATTGCTAAATACATACATTTCATACTTCAGTATTTCAGCCAATCCAAAAAGGAAGTTGCAAACTGTATTTAAAATCAAAATTTTTCCCCATTACTGATGGCAAAAGGACCCATCATGCATTTCACACTTAAGTGATTAAATAAAAGATTATAGAGCTCATTCAGACTGAACAGATATACTTCCTTAAAAACCAGTAAAATTATCACTTACTTGTTCATCACATGGAATTATAATTGTTAATGCTGACAGCAGAGAGGCAAAATAGCCGAAGTGAAGAGTGGCCTGAGGCTTATTTATTCTGCTAAATCCAGCACACACTTTATCATGCACTTCGAAACGCTATCAGAAGCTCTCACAGAGGTTTCCCCCCCTCACCATAACAGCAGCTCTTCTCAGCTACCCTTCTCCTGCCTGTGGTGCTTCATGTTGCTTTGACACCTCAGAATGCAAAACTACATCGCAGTGGTTTCACTTCCTTGAAAAGAGAGCTGAAAGGAAATTGCACTGCTGAGCAAGCAGTGCAACACCGATAGCCGTTATGGCTAACTGACAACTGGAACCATTAGCAGAAAGGGAGGGAGAAGAAAGGTCCTGTGGCTCGAAAGGGCAGTGACGTGTCAAGAAGAGGTTAAAACATTAACCTGGTACCTGCAGATGCAGACACCCCCGCGGATGGGAGATGCCCGATTCACAGGTCACAGGAGGCTGGTGAGGGATGGCTGCCAGCTGCACACGTCACCAGCCCCCCATTCCCAATGTGAGGACAGCCGAGCAGCCCCTTTCAAACCTCTGACTACAGACACGAGCACCTAAAAATAAGCCTGTAAACGCACATTTAGGCAACTACTTAAAGCTGCCTCATTTTCTTAGGGCTGATTGATTGTATGTAGTCACCTTTTAAGACTGATCACAGTAGCTGGCCAGGATATACAAATCTCTGATCACACCTATGGTATCAACAGGTCCCATCCTTGCACTCTAAACAGTGCCATTTCTCTGTTGGCCTGCAGTAGCTCCAGAATTTGGGCAGGTCGTCCCACTAATTTTCAGCATATCACAGTTTTTCCACGTGACTGCTCTTTATAGCTCCTATTTCCTTCCTGTGCAGTATTACACTTCACTCTTCAAAAGTGTATCATCAAAAAATACCCCTTTGAAATCAACGGGATGTCATTTTCTGTACAATCTATACAAATAAGCATGACTATGTTCGTTAGAGCTGCCCCTCTGCTGAGCAGAGCAGTCCAAGGGGAAATGCTCTCAGAGGAAATCCTGCCTCCATTACTTAGAAATGCACAGGTTCTTAGGGATAACAGGGACATCCGTAAAGTCTTCTAATTCATGATTTAGGGGAGCAAACAAGTTGCTAGAGGCTGCCTCCTGTGAAAATTGGGAGCTTATTAATTATTAAACTTCTCAATTTTCACAACGAACAGGATGTACGTTCAACATTAGTATGCTGTGTGTTAAAATCAATAAATATCAGACATGTAGCAGTCTCGATGCGTATTGCCCAAAATATTGTACTTTACACATGTTTTCCTTAAAACTGTGGTGGAAGTATAAACTTTCAGTGAAAATTTAGAATTCTGGGTTAATGAGCTCTCAGGAGACTGCTATAAAAGTACAAGGTTACTACTTATGGCTGTGATGCTGACTTTTCCCTGACAGGGAAGCTAGTACACCTCCCTCTACTGTGGCAAATGCCTATTACCAAACACTGTATTTCTCAACTCTATTTAAACTAAAAGGAAAAAAAAAAAAAAAAAAAGTTGAATCAGATTATTTCACTGCCTTAAATCAAGGCAGAATGTTTTTTTCCACAAGATAATAGTCAATAGTAAATTCAACATCACTTCCAGTTGAGTGCATTCAATCTCATGTACACTTGAGTCACTGAGTATTTTTATGCTTCTTGTAGCAGGGAAGGACCAGAAAAAAAGCACCCAGTAAAAACTTCCAGTGAACCATGTTAAATTCCATGGGCAAGTCAAGAGTTGAGCTTTCTGACATGAGTTGCATTTCTAGCGTACATACTCGGTATGTTGACACAACAGTCCCTGAGGAAGAGAAAATGTGACTGTGAAGCCATTAGCAAGAACGCTGCTGTGTGAGGCCCAGTTCTTATTGCAGTGACTGGCATACCATGCACTGCACTATTACCTGGTGAGTGCAAGGTCCAAAAGTGACAGGGGGTTTTGGGCAAGACACAAAGAACGCTTACATGGGATTAGGAGGAAAGAGACAGCACCGACTGAGCGCTTCAGGCAGCATTTAAGACTGTATCACATAGCTTTGAGCAATGTGGCAACTGATTTTCTGCCAAGGCTTCCTGCATGGATGAGTGTGTTCACCTCTCTACAGACTGCGGGTGACAGCTACAGCTAAAAGCCCGCACATGCCGTACGAATTGCATGTTCAGTCAGACTCCCAGAGTGACACAGCATCATTTCCCTGGAGGCAGGTAACTTGAAATCAAGGGGGATTGACTATGCTACGCTTTCCAAGTGTATTTGACCATGAGTCATGCACCTCCAAAATCATGAGATTGCCTAGATATCAAGGGATAAAAAAAATTACTGACTTTTTACTTTTTCTTGTGCCTTCTGCTTTCTGGGTCTTTACAGGGCTAGCCAGAAACATTAAAAAAGGCCAGAAACATTAAAAAAATAAATACACTGAGGCATATAAATAATGACTTCATGTATAAACACATGACTTCAGTAAGGTAATGCTCCAATGGTGATAAACTCCAAGAGCTAGCTTCAGTGAATGAACAAGTCCTCAAGTACAGAACAGTAAGAAATAAGAGTCATAAACCTGTTACCAGCCCTGTAACAATTTCACAAGGTACTTATTACATGACGACAAGA